ATATATATAATATATATACTATATTAATAATCAACCCCGACCCTTAACCCCCGGGAATCGAAGCCCTGAACCCTTTAAAACAACCATCGGGATTTCCCCGCAAAGTTTTTCCATTGCTTAACCATTCTTTATTCAATTATTTAATTTTTTTGATTTAATTTTTAATTATTAAAAATTATTATATAATTATATTATATATATATATATATATATATATATATATTATTATTATTATATAATATTTATATATATATATTAATATATATATTTAATATATATATATAATATATATATTATTATATATATATTATATAATTATATATATATATATATATATATATTTTATTATAATATATATATATTTAATATAATTGTGGTAACAATATTATATATATATGTATTAATATATTAAAAAAAGGGAAGTACCCCTCTATAGCTGGAATGGGGACCTCATATTTTTAATATATTTTAATATATATATATATATATATATATATATATATATAAAATATTATATATATATATATTATATATATATATATGTTGATATATGTAGTGCATGGTAGATATGATAATATTTCTAGTGTTATGCCTCATTCATTACTATCTCAAGATGCACATCGGTCTTCATAACTTTTAATTTTTTAGGAAAAGTTTAAATTCTTCCTCTTTATCTTTTTAGCGATTTGTTTTGGGCATTTAATGAGATTATTTTGATCAAATTTTCTCCATGGACTGACGTTTAAAAGATACTGCAATTTCTCTAAATCTGGCTGTATTTTTTAAGATTTTATATACATATATAAACATATATATTATATATATATATATATATTATATATATATATATATTATATATAAAAATATATTTTATATATATATATATATATATATATATATATATATATAATATATATGTTATATATTATATTAATCTTACTCAAGACAGTAAACAATCTCCCTTATGCTCAAGACAGTAAACAATCTCCCTCTTACTCAAGACAGTAAACAATCTCCCTTATGCTCAAGACAGTAAACAATCCCCCTCATACTCAAGACAGTAAAACAATTTTTTCCCCCTCATACTCAAGGGCAGTAAAACAATCCCCCTCATACTCAGACAAGTAAACAATCCCTCATACTCAAGACAGTAAACAATCCCCCTTATGCTCAAGACAGTAAACAATCCCCCTCATACTCAAGACAGTAAACAATCCCCCTCATACTCAAGACAGTAAACAATCTCCCTCATACTCAAGATAGTAAATAATCCCCTCATACTCAAGAAATAAACAATCTCCCTCATATCAAGACAGTAAACAATCTCCTCATACTCAAGAAGTAAAAATCTCCCTTATACTCAAGAAATAAACAATCCTCTCAAATCAAGACAGTAAACAATCTCCCCCTTTACTCAAGACAGTAAACAATCTCCCTATTTCAGACAGTAAACAATCCCCTCATACTCAAGACAGTAAACAATTTTCCCTATCTCAAACAGTAAACAAAACTCCCTCATTTTCAAGACAGTAAAAAATCTCCCTCATTCAAGACAGTAAACAATCTCCCTCATACTCAAACAGTAAACAATCTCCCCTTTTGCTCAAGACAGTAAACAAACCCCCTCATTCAAGACAGTAAAACAATCCCCTCATACTCAAGACAGTAAACAATCTCCCATCTCAAGACAGTAAACAATCCCCCTCATATTTAACAGTAAACAATCCCCCAACTTAAAAATTCCCCTCTAAGACAGTAAACAATCTCCCCCATAAACTCAAATTTCAGAAAACAATCTTTTCCCCATACCAATACAGTAAAAAATCTCCTTATTCTCAAAACAGTTTTTTCCCAAACTAACTTCCTCATACTCAAGACAGTAAACAATCCCCTTGTGCTGACGACAGTAAAAAAATCTTCCCCATACTCAAAATAGTAAACAATCTATCTCATACTCAAGACAGTAAACAATCTCCTTCATACTCAAGACAGTAAACAATCCCCCTCATACTCAAGACAGTAAACAATCCCCTCATACTCAAGACAGTAAACAATCTCCCTCATACTCAATATACTACACAATCTCCCTCATTCTCAAGACTGTAAACAATCTCTTTTATGCTCGAGACAGTAAACAATCTCCCTTATGCTCGAGACAGTAAACAATCTCCCTCATATTCAAGACAGTAAACAATCCCCCTCATACTCAAGACAGTAAACAATCCCCCTCATACTCAAGACAGTAAACATTCTCCCTCAAGCTCAAGACAGTAAACAATCCCACTCATACTCAAGACGGTAAACAATCCCCCTCATACTCAAGACAGTAAACAATCTTCTTCATAATCAAGACGGTAAACAATCTTCCTTATACTCAAGACAGTAAACAATGTCCCTAATATTCAAGACAGTAAACAATTTCCCTTATACTCAAGACAGTAAACAATCTCCCTCATACTCAAGAGAGTAAACAATCTCCCTCATACTCAATACAGTAAACAATATCCCTTATGCTCAAGACAGTAAACAATCTCCCTCATACTCAAGAAAATAAACAATCCCCCTCATACTCAAGACAGTAAACAATCTCCCTCATACTCAAGACAGTAAACAATCCCCCTCATACTCAAGACAGTAAACAATCTTCTTCATAATCAAGACGGTAAACAATCTCCCTTATACTCAAGAGAGTAAACAATCTCCCTCATACTCAAGACAGTAAACAATCTCCCTTATACTCAAGACAGTAAACAATCTCCCTCATACTCAAGACAGTAAACAATCTCCCTCATACTCAATACAGTAAACAATATCCCTTATGCTCAAGACAGTAAACAGTCTCCCTCATACTCAAGACAATAAACAATCCCCCTCATACTCAAGACAGTAAACAATCTCCCTCATACTCAAGACAGTAAACAATCCCCCTCATACTCAAGACAGTAAACAATCTTCTTCATAATCAAGACGGTAAACAATCTCCCTTATACTCAATACAGTAAACAATCTCCCTCATACTCAATACAGTAAACAATATCCCTTATACTCTAGATAGTAAACAATCTCCCTTTTATTCAAGACAGTAAACATTAATCTCGTTTTTGGATGCAGTAAACAGTTTCTTTCTGAACAGTAAACATCTCCTTTCTGAACAGTAAACATTTTCTATCTCAACAGCAAACATTTTCTTCCTTATTCAAGACAGTAAACATTCTCCTTTATACTTGAGGCGGAAATATTCTCTCGTTACTCAGGACAGCGAACATTTTCATCGTTACTTCATGCAGTAATAATTCTTTTCATTATTCAAGACACCAAACATTTCCTGTTACTGAAGACACCAAACATTCCATGTTACTGAAGACACCAAACATTTCCTGTTACTGAAGACACCAAACATTCCATGTTACTGAAGACACCAAACATTCCATGTTACTGAAGACACCAAACATTTCCTGTTACTGAAGACACCAAACATTCCATGTTACTGAAGACACCAAACATTCCCTGTTACTGAAGAAAAAACCCAAAACATTTCCTGTTACTGAGACACCAAACATTCATGTTACTGAAGACACCAAACATTCCATGTTACTGAAGACACCAAACATTTCCTGTTACTGAAGGACACCAAAAAATTCCTGTTACTGAAGGGCACCAAACATTTCCTTGTTACTGAAGACACCAAACATTCCCTGTTACTGAAGACACCAAACATTTCCTGTTACTGAAGACACCAAACATTTCCTGTTACTGAAGACACCAAACATTTCCTGTTACTGAAGACACCAAACATTCCATGTTACTTTAAGACACCAAACTTTCCTGTTACTGAAGACACCAAACATTCCATGTTCTGAAGACAACCAAACATTCCATGTTACTGAAGACACCAAACATTCCATGTTACTGAAGACACCAAACATTCCATGTTACTGAAGACACCAAACATTCCATGTTACTGAAGACACCAAACATTTTCCTGTTACTGAAGACACCAAACATTCCAGTTATGAAGACACCAAACAGTCTTCTTGGTTTGAGAAAAACATTTCCTTACTGAAAACAGAAACTACACCAACAAAGACATAAACTTCCGTGTTTAAAACCATAAATTATTGACCCTTACTTCCCTGAAAATGAGAATTCCCTTTTACTAAAGACAACAAACATTCTTTCCCGAAATACCAAAATTTGTCTAACCCAGGCCTTATAGATTTAAACAACCCCATGAGACTACACAAAAACGAGCATAATTTTAGTTTGTAAACTAAAAATTGACCCCGGATACTTTCGGAAATGAAATTTCGTTTGGAAAAACATAAAATTTTCCTGTTTTGCAAGGGGAATTCTACAGGCCACTAAAGGTTACGATTAGTTTAGCCAAAAAACGCCTAAAATAAGTTCTTGGTAAAAAGGGGAAAGGGGAAAAGGGTTACGGTAGAACAATTCGTTTTTAAAAAAATTAAATCTGTGTTGGAATAATTACAAATAACGGCCGGACTGTTGCCTATTAAGTTTGAAAGAAAAAAACGGGGTTAAGTAATTTTTATATTATACAACTCTTTTCTGGAAAATAAGAACTATGATTTTATGTTAAAGGTAAGGTTAAATTTGAAATTAAAAATATAAGGAAAACCATATTTTTTGTTAAGGATAATTTGTTAAGTAAAAATTTACCAATTTATTTTGAACAAAAATTTTTATAGTAATTTTAAGTATATAGAAAAAAAAACCTTTTATTATGTTTTTTAAACCCCAAACAACAACAATAGGCAGCTTTTTCTTTAGTATCTTATTTATATTTCATCTTTTTATGATACCTTTAAACACATTACTAATTATAACCGTTCAGGACCAGGAATTCTAAATCACAACCTTTGTAGAAATTATATTACAATGTTTCTTTAGATATTCAAACACCGATTGCTTGACTGATTAACATCAACAACAAGACGTCTAAGATTGATCTCGTGTGACACTCTACTCATCCCCGACAGGAATCGCTCGGCCCTCGGGTGCTGTCGGTGAGTCATGAGTGCCAGTTGCGTGTCCTAGGTAATGCGAAGGTGCCCCCTGGTCTTGACAAAAGACTTAATCCTTTTTATGGCGGCATAGTTCACATTAAGATGATCAGTTGTCGCCATCTGGTTAATTCATCCTCCTTCGACCAGAAGCACCACTGAGTGTACTCCTTTGTTCTTGTGGCTCTGCTTGCTGAATAATTTTTGTTAACGTATTACAATAAACTGTAGCACTGCACCATCAACCGAGGCAGTTTTCTTGTGGTTAGCTTCCCAATAATTGCCTGGTCCACTCATGACACAGCGAGTCACAGGAGCACAGTCCTGGGATAAACACAGTGAGGCGTGTGGTGTGTTGTGAGGTCTTGGGTGACGCCGTGTCGCAGCATCCCTGGAGCACCCGTTGCCTGACACCCTTCTTATTGTCGCTAATATCCCGATATGTGCATGATGACAATAATCCTCGTTTACCGATATTCCTCCTCGTTACTGCGAGTCTGACACTGTCAATCCAGTGTATTTATTGCTCTCATTTAAATTTAACTACTTGTACCAATTCCTTTTCAGTACGGTTTTTAACCTACACAAATATACCTCTTATTCACGAGTTTCTCCATCATTCGTGGCACATTTAATATGCGTTAGATTAAGTACGTTAATTGGTGTTATTTTGTCTCGTGAGTGGATTTTCTTTTAAACTTTTGTATGATATGGATGTTTCTTGTTGAAAACAGTGAAATACTTCTTTTAAATACCTTTCCCCTTATCAAAAGCTGATACGCTAATGTTTTTGGGGGTAGGTGTTGTCTCAGTTCCAGGCTACTAGGTATTTTTTCCCTCTTCTTGGTCTTTTCAGCCGGTCGCTATGCGCGGGGGGAAATAAAAAAAATAGAGAGAAGCATTAACGTGATGTCACTAACTGCTGATCTAAAAAATAATAAATTTGAAATATTTTTGGCAATTAAAATAAAAATAAAGCTTGCATATATACGATATATAAATATATATAATATATATATATATTTTATATAAAATTATATATATATATTATTTTAATAAAAATATTTTATTATATATATATATTATATATTTATATATATATATTATTATTATATATATATATATATATATTTTTATATATATAATATTTTAAAAATTTTTAAAATATAATATATTATAATATATATATATATTATTTAAATTATATAAAATTATATATATATTTTTATTTATATATAAAACCCCAATCACTAAGTTTTTTAAAAAATTTATGGGAATGTTTACTTTTATGCTTAAACCAACTATTAGTTATTCTTGTGGTGTCTCGGTCCCGGAGGGCAATCGCAAATAAATGTGAGTTATTAAATGTTAATAATTTGTCTGTGTCAGAGCATTTTATGTGTGCCGTCACGTATTTGTAAATATTTACCTTAGGCAATAAGTGAAGGCATGGAAAAGAAGATTTTTACATGTGGTACGGTGGAGATATATTTTTGTGGTGGCCGGGTTAGTTTGTATTTAGTACACTCGCTTTAATTTTATTTGTTGCTAACTCAGTGGATGAAGATGGTGTTGAAAGCTGCCCTTAGCTGCTCGCTGTTGTCTTGCATTGTCAGCATGTACATGCATTACCGTCCAGTGTAAATAGTCGCGCATTTTTACGTGTAATGAACTTAAATTTTATCTAACGTGAGCACGAGAGCACGTAGGAACATGAAAGTTAGCACGTAGGAACATGAAAGTTAGCACGTAGGAACATGAAAGTTAGCACGTAGGAACACGAATGTTAGCACGTAGGAACACGAAAGTTAGCACTTAGGAACACGGAAGTTAGCACGTAGAAATGTGAAGTGAGCACTTATGAACAGGATGGTAAGCATGTATGAAGATGGAAGAGTGCATTTTGGTACAGGAAGGTACACTTGTAAGAACAGGGAAGTAAGCACATAGAGGTAAGCACTTAGGAACACGAGAGATATAGAGGTAAGTACTAAGGAACACAAAAGTAAGCTCATAGTTACACTCAAGCACGAAGGAACACGAAAATATGCACCTAGGTATACGCAAGTCAGCACATTAAAAACATGAACGTAAGCACGTAAGCTTGTGGAACAGGGGAAAAAAAAGGATGTAGAAATATGACAACACCGAGGATAACTGAAGTATGCATATAGGAACACGGAAGGAAGAATGAAGGAAGAGAGGTACAAGCATGCAGGATCACTGAAGGTGAGCTAAATGAAAGTGAGAACACGAGACCACCAAGTGATTTCACAAACTCTTGTATTGATTGGTACTTAAGCAACTATATTTTCCTCCCTCAGTTACCCCCTAGCTTACAGACAAGTACAAAAGCAACGCCCCCTCCCTCCCACTTTCATTCTCTCTCTCCCTTCCCTTGTCCGTTTCCCTTGTATATGTGCGTGTGAGTGCGTGCGTGCGCACATGTGTGTGTGTGTGTGTGTGTACTCACATAAGTGTGGTTGCAGGGGTCGATTCATAGCTCCTGGCATCATGTGTGTGTGTGTTTGAGCGTGTTTATTTGTGTGTGAGTGCGAGAGAAAGTGTAAGTGCGTTTGTGGGTGTCATGGTTTGCATGTGTATGCGTGTGTGGGTGTGACAGTGTGCATGTGTACACGTGTGTATGTGTGTGTGTGTGTGTGTGTTGTGTGTGTGTGTGTGTGTGTGTGTGTGTGTGTGTGTGTGTGTGTGTGTTTGTGTGGAAGTGCGTGCATGTGTACTTGCTTTAGTGCAGATCCTTTCGTACTTATTTCTAGAACTATGTTTAAAGCTGCCTAAACCACTTCACCGTCTCGGATATTCATTAACTCACCGGCCGCCCTCACGTTGGTGAAATATTCATTGAACATCCAACTGACCTCTTGTACCTGTTTACCACCTCTCGAAAAACCTATTTTTGTTCACCCTTTCTAGTTATCTGAGAATTTTATGTAGTGTTATCGTATCTCCCCTGGATATGCTATCCTTTAATATCGTCAAGATTAATTCCTCTAGCTTCACGTCATAGCTTGTTTTCCTTAACTATGCGGCTAGTCCTGTATATAAGCATACCTCTGCACCGTCTTCAGTTTCCTAGCATGTTCCTTCACCTGTAGCTTCCACGCTGATGTTGCTGTCTCCAAGATGAGACAATGACTCTTTAGTGAGTTTTATGAAAACTAGCAATAGGTTTGCCGGACAATCATATGATGCAGAGGTTCCTCGGTTGATGTGAACTTCTGTTGACGAGCCTGGCACTATGTTCACTCCTTGGTCCTCTGTTGATGAGCCTGGCACTATGTCCACACCTTGGTCCTCTGTTGATGAGATTGGCACTATGTCCACACCTTGGTCCTCTGTTGATGAGCCTGGCACTATGTCCACACCTTGGTCCTCTGTTGATGATCCTGGCACTATGTCCACACCTTGGTCCTCTGTTGATGATCCTGGCACTATGTCCACACCTTGGTCCTCTGTTGATGATCCTGGCACTATGTCCACACCTTGGTCCTCTGTTGATGAGCCTGGCACTATATCCACACCTTGGTCCTCTGTTGATGAGCCTGGCACTATATCCAAACCTTGCTCCTCTGTTGATGAGCCTGGCACTATATTCACACCTTGGTCCTCTGCTGATGATCCTGGCACTATGTTCACACCTTGGTCCTCTGTTGATGAGCCTGGCACTATGTCCACACCTTGGTCTTCTGTTGATGATCCTGGCACTATGTCCACACCTTGGTCCTCTGTTGATGAGCCTGGCACTATATCCACACCTTGGTCCTCTGTTGATGAACCTGGCACTATATCCACACCTTGGTCCTCTGTTGATGAGCCTGGCACTATATCCACACCTTGGTCCTCTGTTGATCCTGGCACTATGTTCACACCTTGGTCTTCTGTTGATGAGCCTGGCACTATATCCACACCTTGGTCCTCTGTTGATGAGCCTGGCACTATATCCACACCTTGGTCCTCTGTTGATGAGCCTGGCACTATATCCACACCTTGGTCCTCTGTTGATGAACCTGGCACTATGTTCACACCTTGGTCCTCTGTTGATGAGCCTGGCACTATGTTCACACCTTGGTCCTCTGTTGATGAGCCTGGCACTATATCCACACCTTGGTTTCCCCTGTTGATGAGCCTGGCACTATATCCACCCTTGGTCCTCTGTTGATGAGCCTGGCACTATGTTCACACCTTGGTCCTCTGTTGATGATCCTGGCACTATATCCACACCTTGGTCCTCTGTTGATGAGCCTGGCACTATGTTCACACCTTGGTCCTCTGTTGATGAGCCTGGCACTATATCCACACCTTGGTCCTCTGTTGATGAGTCTGGCACTATATCCACACCTTGGTCCTCTGTTGATGAGCCTGGCACTATATCCACACCTTGGTCCTCTGTTGATGATCCTGGCGCTATATCCACACCTTGGTCCTCTGTTGATGAGCCTGGCACTATGTTCACACCTTGGTCCTCTGTTGATGAGCCTGGCACTATATCCACACCTTGGGTCCTCTGTTGATGAGTCTGGCACTATATCCACACCTTGGTCCTCTGTTGATGAGCCTGGCACTATATCCACACCTTGGTCCTCTGTTGATGAGCCTGGCACTATGTTCACACCTTGGTCCTCTGTTGATGAGCCTGGCACTATGTTCACACCTTGGTCCTCTGTTGATGAGCCTGGCACTATATCCACACCTTGGTCCTCTGTTGATGAGCCTGGCACTATATCCACACCTTGGTCCTCTGTTGATGAGCCTGGCACTATATCCACACCTTGGTCCTCTGTTGATGAGCCTAGCACTATGTTCACACCCTGGTCCTCTGTTGATGAGCCTGGCACTATGTTCACACCTTGGTCCTCTGTTGATGATCCTGGCACTAAATCCACACCTTGGTCCTCTGTTGATGAGCCTGGCACTATATCCACACCTTGGTCCTCTGTTGATGAGCCTAGCACTATGTTCACACCTTGGTCCTCTGTTGATGAGCCTGGCACTATGTTCGCACCTTGGTCCACTGTTGATGAGCCTGGCACTATATTCACACCTTGCTCTTTCTCCTTAAGTGACATTTGCAATGTCTCTTTTCCTAGTATTTGTTCTCAGGTTCTGCTCTTCTTATTGTTTCTCAGTTTTCACAACCTTACATTTCCTGGGGTTGAATTTCAGTCATCATCCTTAAGAAAGTTACTAAATACTTCACGATGAAATATTCTTGAAAATGAAATGAATTTTCTTGAATATTAAACATTTTGCAGGTTTTTGTTGATTCAATATAAATAGGGAGATGTAGAGAGTTCTGGTAATTTCTTCTAGTTGATATTCCAAGTTGTACGTTGTTACTTTTTGTTTCTATTAGTGTATTTTAAATCTTTTTTCTCCTTCCTTCGTTTTGTGGTTACAATTATGTTTTCCATTTCGCCCACCTTTACCTTGCTGCTTTTCTGTCTTATATATATTATATATATATATATATTATATATATATATATATATATATATATATATATATATATATATATATATAATATATATAAAATATATATATATATATATCTGCTTCCTTTGTTGAAATATCTGCTGTACCAGTTCTGCTGTCTGTTGTCATATATCCTGTTTAGTACATGTTCCCATACGTCATATGATCTCATTATTATTGCTGGCTGTATTCTTTCATACATTCTCACTATGAAAAAAACCTCAGCTAGTTTTTGCCGTCACTGTTAGTGCGCCTATTAATAATTCTACTGTTTTCCTTTTTTCCGCTTCTCTTGTGTATATTTTGTATCTCGTTTCTGATGTGATAGACCAAAAATCATTAAAACTCTTCCCGTCCACCATGTTGCTGTTTGATTCACCGATACCGATATATATATATATATATATATATATATATATAATATATATATATATATATATATAATATATAATTATATATATATATATATATATATATATATATATATATATATATATATATATATATATATATATATATATATATATATATATATATATATATATATATATGACGTGAACAAATTGTATAAATCAGACTGTTATAAAATTCCTCCTTGAAGTTCTTCTGACTTTTAACTATATTTTATAGTAAAAAAAAGTGCGACATTAGTTAAGAGGTGTACCTTAAAATCGTGAATATATAACCTGTATGTAATGTCTTACCACCTCGTACGTTATTTAAATAATATTTCAACTATGCATATTATATCCTTTGAGGCGCTCATCATTTGCTGCAGTAAATGATGTGCGCCTTAGAGGATATTCTCGGTATCATACTCACCCCAAGGTCTCTTTTTCTGTGTGAGGTTTGCAGCCTTTTACCCCCTCAAGTCTGTTCTCCGTTTTCAGTTTTATTTGTCCTTCCCGAAAGTTCATAACTTTGAACTTGGTGCTGTTAAAAATCCAGGAGCCGTTGCCAGACCAGGCCTTTATCCTATCCAGATCCATTTGTAGCCTTTCTTGGTCTTCGTTCTTATGCATTCTCCTCATTAGTTTCACATCGTTTGTGAACCTTATTATCCATTCCATCACATCATCCTTGTGGAACCCAACTCGTGATATGCACCCATTCCCACCCATTCCCACCCATTCCCACCCATTCCCACCCATTCCGATACCTCGTCAAGAACTATCACTCGTTTTCTTCCTTTCAGGCATGCCTTGATAGATTGTAGTGCTTTGCCTGTTATTCTTGCCTTCTCCTCTAGCTTATGTAGCAATCTCTTGTGCAGTAGTAACAAAAAGTCTTCTTACAGTCCGAGAAAATGCAATATACCCATCCTTCTCTTCCCTATTTACTTCTGCTACTTTGTTCTCCTGAAGCAGAGGTGATTGTCATGTAGGGACCCACTCCTTTTTAAGTGCTCCACCACTCTTCTCCTGAAAATCATCTTCATAGCTCTTCCTACTACACATCTCAGTCACACTGGGTTATAATTTATCTCTACCTCTCTGTCTCCTTTCATAAAATTTGGGACTACATTTGCAGTCTTGCACATCCCCGGCAGTTGCCCTGTGTAGATAAACCTACTGAATATCGTTGCTAGCGGCGCACGCCTCTGCTTCTCTCTGGACCTACAGAGAGATATTATCTGGTTTCACAGCCTTCGAGGTATGTAGTACACTTAGCAGCTTTTTCACCTCTTCTGTAGCTGTGTGTATTGTGTCCAATGCTTCCTGGTACATTCTACTACTTCGCTTTGCTCTTAACCTTTTTGTCACAGAAAAAACTTCCCTAAATTTCATACTGAGGTCTTCACAAAGTTACTAATCTTTCCTTGTAAGTTCCCCACTTTCCTTCTTTATCCTGATTACCTGCTGCCTGACTGTAGTCTTCCATCTGATGGCTATGTAACAACTTTGGGTCGGATTTGGCTTTCAGTGTCATTCTCAAATTATCATTGAGCCTCTCCTTATCAATTCATGCTCATATCTAGCTCTTCGGCTCAACTCCTTGTTTTACTGAATTCTTTACTCTCTATTCTTTTACCATGCTGTAGCACATCTTTGTGCCTGTATTACGTCTGCGATCTTCTTTGTCCTTCCCCGAGCTTCAGAACTTTGCACATGTTGGGGTTATATTCCAAGAACTATTTTTCAAACGAGGCTTGCAACCTGGTCAGAGCCTTTTGAAGTCTTACTTAATCCTGGTTTGCTTGAATTCTCCTCATTAGTTTCACGTCGTCTTCGAACAGAGACACCTTTGACTCTATCCCCTGTCATATGTGTGTGTGTGTACTCATCTATTTGTGGTTGCAGGGGATGAGTCTAAGCTCCTGGCCCCGCCTCTTTGCTGATTATTACTAGATCGATTCTCTCCCTGCTGCAAGAACCTCTCTAGATTGTTCCATTTCCTGACAACTCGAAAGCTAAAGAAGTACTTCCTAACATCCATATGACTCATCCGAGTTTTTAAATTCTAGTTGTGCCCCTTGTTCCTGTGTCCCTTCTCTGAAACTTTCTGGAACTGGTCTCCTTGTCAATTCCTCTCAGTATTTTATACGTCCTTGTCATGTCCCCCCTATCCCTCCCGTTCTTCAGTGCCGTCAAGTTAGTTTCCCTTAACCGGTTCTCGTAGGACATACCCCTTACCTCCTGGACTAGTTTTTTGAAAACCTTTGTACTTCTCTACTTTCTTCACGTATTTGAACGAGGTGTGGGACCTTCATACTCCAATATGGGCCTGACGTACACTGTGTATAGTGTCATGAATGACTCATTACTAGATGTCGAAACGCTATTCTCAGGTTTGCTAGGCGCCCATATGCTGCAGCGGTTATTTGGTTGATATGCGCCTCACTAGATGTGCTCGGTATGATGCTCACCTCAAGCCCCTTTACCTGGAGTGAGTTTTGCAGCCTTCTTTATCCTTCCGCAAGCTTCACATGAGAGTGTGCGTGCATATGTGTGTGTATGTGTGTGTGTGTGTGTGTGTGTGTGTGTGTGTGTGTGTGTGTGTGTGTGTATGTGTGTTGTGTGTGTGTGTGTGTGTGTGTGTGTGTGTGTGTGTGTGTGTGTGTGTGTGTGTGTGTGTGTGTGTGTATGTGTGTGTGTGTGTGTGTGTGTGTGTGTGTATGTGTGTGTGTGTGTGTGTGTGTGTGTGTGTGTGTGTGTGTGTACTCATCTCATTGTACTCACTTAAATGTGGTTGCAGGGGTCGAAACTCAGCTCCTGGCCTCGCCTCTTCACTGAGTGCCACTAGGTCCTTTCTCTTCCTGCTCTATGAGCTTTATCATACCTCATCTTAAAGCTATGTATGGTTCCTGCCTCCACTACCTCACTTGCTAGGCTATTCCACTACCTGACAACTCTATGACTGAAGAAATACTTCCTAACATCCCTTTGACTCATCTGAGTCTTCAACTTCCAATTGTGACCCCTTGTTTCTGTGTCCTCTCTCTGGAACATCCTGTTTCTGTCCACCATGTCTATTCCACGCAGTATTTTGTATGTTGTTATCATGTCTCCTCTAACCCTCCTGTTCTCCAGTGTCGCCAGGCCGATTTCCCCTAACCATTCCTCGTAGGACATTCCCCTTAGCTCTGGAACTAACCTTGTCGCAAACCTTTGCACTTTCTCTAATTTCTTGACGTGCTTGACCAGGTGTGGGTTCCAAACAGGTGCTGAATACACAATATTGGCTTGGCATACACGATGTACAGTGTCTTGAACGATTCCTTATTAAGGTATGGGAACGCTATTCTCAGGTTTGCCAGACGCCCATATGTTGCAGCAGTTATCTGGTTAATGTGTGTGCTTCCGGAGACGTGCTCGGTGTTATTCTCACCTCAAGATCTTCGGCCATCTAGCATATACTCCGTCTGCGGTCTTCTTTGCCCTTCCCCGATCTTCATGACTTTGCATTTGGCAGGGTTAAATTCGAGAAGCCAGTTGCTGGACCAAGTGTCCATCCTGTCCAGGTCTCTTTGAAGTCCTACCTGATCCTCATTTGATTTTATTCTCCTCAATAACTTCACATCATCTGCGAACAGGGACACCTCTGAGTCTAACCCTTCCATCATGTCATTCACATATACCAGAAATATGTGTGTGTGCGCGCGCGTGTGTGTGTGTGTGTGTGTTTGTATGTATTTATGTGTGTGTATGTGTGTGTGTGTACTCACCTAATTGTACTCACCTAATTGTGGTTGCAGGGGTCGAGACTCAGCTCCTGGCCCCGCCTCTTCACTGATCGCTACTGGATCCTCTCTCTCTCTGCTTCCTGAGCTTTGTCATACCTCTTCTTAAAACTATGTATGGTTCCTGCCTCCACTACTTCACTTGCTAGGCTATTCCACTTGCTGACAACTCTATGACTGAAGAAATACTTCCTAACGTCCCTGTGACTCGTCTGAGTCTTCAGCTTCCAGTTGTGACCCCTTGTCCCTGTGTCCCCTCTCTGGAACATCCTATCTCTGTCCACCTTGTCTATTCCCCGCAGTATCTTGTATGTCGTTATCATGTCTCCCCTGACCCTTCTGTCCTCCAGTGTCGTCAGTCCGATTTCCCTTAACCTTTCCTCGTACGACATTCCCTTGAGCTCTGG